TTTTACCTACCTATGGTGTTTATTAACCCGTAGACCTCCACATTTATTTGTCAAACGTGGATAGAGACAAAAAGTACGTCACAAAAGTGATCTCAAGCATCCTAAGTGCTAGTGGCTTCAAATCGTGTATAGATGTAGGCCTACTCAGCTGATTACCCAACCAATTTGAGCCTCTTTGACTGGGTGAAAGGTTTCATGTTTTTTGCGTAAAATCCTAATAGTTTCTGATCCAAAGGAGACGAAAGTTTTTCGTTTTTACCAAAATGTAACCATAATTGTCCTCTATCTATGATATGAATATAAGGCGTTGGATGTTGACGGTTACTGCATTTCACATAGATCTTTATACACCATTCGATAGCCCGTTGACCAGTGTATGTTTGCCACTGTTTGTAGTAATTGTATTTACTCGTTCAACTTTCTTCCTATTAGTGTAAATAGTAGAAGACGATTAGACAGTCAGTTCTCTTTTCATGAGAGATATTATTTTGATAATCGGAGTAGCTGCTGACTAGTTCTAAAGGTATCTGTATACAACAATTCTTTTTCTTGCATTCAACTTAACTCTTCTGTGTAGAACCATCGATAGCAAAGATTACTCTTAAAACACAAAACTTCATGACTTGCGCCGAACATTTTAGAAATAGTTCTAAATAATTGCTTGGTACATTCTATAAACAAGAACATAGAATAGAAACATATGTTACGAAACAAACGCCGGAGATGATGAAGCATCTAGTTTGAATTTTCAAAAAGAACGCAGAAGTAAATGATTGTATACAGATAATAAAAGAGTCCTAAACTTTAATTCGCTAATATTTTTTAGAATCAAATAATGGTGCTCCTGATATGAAACAATTTGCAAACGAAAGCATGGACGATTTGAATCCAGAACTTTTTAAAGAAGTGTGTTTTGCTTCTGACATATGTTGTCGTACATTGTTCATTGAATCCTTGACTTTTTCACCTTAACTACATGATAGTAGATTCAAATAGGAAACTGAGTTTTTTATAGACCTTTTTACTGCAGACGCCAAAAAAGACCAAGTCGAAAAATCAACAGATGACAACCGTACGAGTATCCGAATTTACTCCGCAGGTGACTATCAGACGTGAACGTTCGCTCAAAATTAATTTGTTATTTTCTTGCGATACAGAAATCAACCACACATCAAACAGCCAAAAGAAGAAGTTCGTCTTATGTAAACACACCAAATATCTATGAACCTAAGAAAGTAAGATCTTATTTTACTATAATGGATATTCTTTGCTATTTTCTTACTCGAATATGTTTTTAGCTTTCACTGATTATGTTGTTTAAAAATTTCTTTTTATTACACAGGAAACATCGCTTACGCCACCAACAAGCGCAAAAACTTCATCATCGCAAAATCAAAGTACTCGGACTAAACCTTTCACTATTAATATTTCCGATTTTACGGGAAAAGGCATCGATTTAAATGACAATTTAGCCATTGAGGCAACAGTTAAACCAATTAATCGAACTCTGCAGTCCAGAAACAATGAAATATGTGATCTAGATACATTAAGAAGTATCGTTAAGTCTTCGATATCGTTAAGGAGCTAGCTCAACGTTGAAAAGTAGAAAAGAATGTATCAGCACTGGTTACTAGGGGTAGCACTTTCTCTTTCCTACCTTCTTTTTTTATTAACAAAAGAAAAGTTTTTCTTTTTCTTTACAACAAAAAAGAGTAAAGATATAATGCATATCTTTTCTTTCTTAAGAAAAAGGAAAGTGGCACCTTTTCTTTTCCGAAAGAAAGAAAAGCAATATCTTTTCTTTTTGCAAGAAAAAGACTTTGCAAGAAAAAGNAACAAAAAAGAGTAAAGATATAATGCATATCTTTTCTTTCTTTCGGAAAAGAAAAGGTGCCACTTTCCTTTTTCTTAGGAAAGAAAAAGACATACATTATATCTTTACTCTTTACTTTTGAAATAAAAGATACCACTTTAACGTTACTCAGGAAAGGAACGGGAAAGTGCCACCCCTACTGGTTACCCTTCAGTTACCAGTACAAGGTATCGAAGATGAGAAAGAAGATACAAGTTCAAAACTGAAAATCCTGTGAAAGTTGCTATTAGTACGGCAGGTCGCGTATTCAGTGCGATAAAAACTGTATTAATCTCGGATCAAATAACAACAGCAGGACATGATCAATCAGTTGATGAAAAAAAGAAAGTAAAAAATTTATCTACAAATAGTTTTGTTTCCTTCTCTCAGTCTGTTATAATACTCCTTTCTATATATTCTTTAGAGGACTGGGAGAAAGCGAAATTATCGTCGTAAACATTAACATTTCATCATTTATTGAAAAAGGCGAAAGCCTCAGCAACGAATATTATATAGTGAAATTAATTCAATTGCAATGACAATTGCGATTAATAATGACTCCAGGAGTACTCCATATAATATTGAAAAAGAAATAACAAGTCAACTCAGCAAATTGAAATATCAACATAAACAAAAGTATAAAGCAGGAAAGCAGAGAACGTCATTGTACTGGCCTACGAAGACAATAGCTATTACGTTACAATTTGAAAGACATGCCGAAACACTACACACTTTAGAAGAAATGTTCATTTTCAATATTCACCTAAATAATAACAAAGATATTCACGAAATGACATTGACTTTCTAGTAATGTTAAAAATGAAGAAGAAGCGTTTTTCATGAAATCAAATGTGACACTCTTGAATCAATTTAATAACTTTTTATATTCAGTTTTTGATGCTGAATCTGAAAAAAGCATTTTCAGAAGCTGGAAGAAAGAGCAAAGTAGAAAATTTTGCATATTTCGAAAAAGATATGTTTTTCTCGAAAAACGACACCTTTCGAGTATTTCGTATTTTTCGACCAGAAGGAAGTATTTGCTAAGGCTAAAAAGTAGTTTTTCGTGATCAGCAGCTCACGCTCTATCAAATGATGTTAAAAAACGCAAAAATGTGTTTTTATTGAAAGTTTGAATTGCCTGCACCTTAATTTCAAATATTAGAGTGCCTTTTAATCAATTGTAAATTCAAACTCTTATAAACAAAATAAGATGAATTCGACCAAGGATACTCCTCCTAGCTTATCGTCACTCTCTCGCGGATCAGGAAATCCTGATTCGTTTCGAGCTCTGTCTCACATTAACATTATCATCACATCACTGCATCAGGTAGAGTTCAATGACTAAATCTGAGTGGTGTTTTTCTACTTGCCTAAAGATCTTCAGCAAGACTAGCCACAAGGAATGCTTGAAATCCATTATCTGAAGTAAAGCACTAAGATATGTCACCAAGCCTTTCTTAAAATTTCTCGTTACCAATACGGTGTAAACTGATGACAAAGCATAAATATACACATATATGTATGGTAAGAGAAAAGTATATAAGCAACGTACCACAATAGGTAACTATCCTTCTTGGAGTCATCTATATGGCAAAGAACTGCATTTCATTATCGATGTGTTGTGCAAAACACCTTGAATAATGCGCCCCTTCAATGACCAAAAAATACATTGACGACCACTTTTGGTGTTAGCGAGATCAAAATAAATTACAATGGCACATTTCAATGAGTCTTCTGTTTTAACGAGTCTATATGCTCTCGAATGAGATATATCCTTCAGTTGTTTTGCATATTCTTAGTTAGTTCTTTCCAGAATACGAAAGGGAAAAACGTTTTTTCTTTATGTCATGTGCTAAAGAAATATTGATCCTGGGACTCTCTAAATCCAATCCCACGCCTGAACCAGGAAAAACTAAGAGTTCGCCTAATTTCAGTTCTGAAGAAGACACTTTGTACTATCTATCTATGAAGAAAGATCGACCTATTTCTATGTCAGTTCTCAGAGATCCAAACTGGTTTTCCAAAGATCCGCTCAAAAACCGGTTTCAAAATATTTTGAGAAAATCGTTTTTGCTTGCGAAAATCTAGTCTCAGATGTCTACTTTCGATTACTGAAAATGGCAAGCCGCTAGCTTTCTTCTGTCAAAAGTTATTCAGAAAACAGCAACATACACTGTACTTTGGCGTCACCAATGCCTGCACATGTGCCGAACTATACTCGCATATGTACTATTCGATGCTCGTTGACCAGTTCTTTCGAACGGTATGTGACACTTGTACTGTTCATTTGAGAAATAACGTTTTCTTTCGTCAAAACCCTAAGGTTTCCGTAACTCGAGAAAACCTCCTGGTTCACGTTCGCCAATGCACCAAGTGTAGGAAAAATATTATATTCATAGACAATAGACATTCGTCTGTGGGATGCACGTCTCTGGATTTTTTTCTATTTAACTTTAATTTTTTGAATTGTTTTTTCTAACGGTACAATGCCGTTGCAATTCACTCATATAAATATATCGCTTAGCAAAAGATACCTGTTTCACTCCTTTTTCGGCTTAAATACACCTATTTTCGGGCCTTTAACTAATATTCTGTTCACTGAGCTTTCATTAAAATATCTCTTGCGAAGTGACCAAGAGCTGCAATTTCATAGCAAATTTTTTGATGACACAAGAATTTCATTAAAATTTTTATGAACTTCCTTATAATGAAAGCTTTTTAATGAAATTGTTTTTAATGAAACTCCGATTTCCAAAATCTAACATGCTAGCACACACTTGTCAGCCGACTAATAAGGTACTTGTTTTTCCGTTAGAAAGAGCAAAGTCTGAACTTCAAAGAACATAGAAAACAAAATTTTGAACTCTCATCAAAAGTATTTTTTCACTCTAAAAAAAAAAATGCAAAATGCAAAATTAAAGCAAAGTTTTTTCTTACTTTCTTATATATTGTTGGATAAAGCTCATTGAGCTGACTAAGCAAATGTATTTTTTAATTTTCAAAATTTTTGTTTCATATCAAAAACTCAAAAAATCGTTCAAGTTCAAAAAGTCTTTAATGCCTAGATTATTTTGAAGCCATCAAACAATTTTTTCGGGTCCAGCATTAAAAATTGAACAGAAAAATAGTGTTTGATCAGTTTCGAAGTTAGCCATGAGCTTGTCGAGCACATCCCAAACCAGCCCTCTAAAGTGCGGACATGCAGTTTTGTAAATATGTCTAGTTTTTTGTGTTAATCGTCGAAGCCTTCATTTGTAAGTCAATAGGCTTGCTGAACGATCAGCTTTTTAAAACTGCACCTCGCTTTTTTTTCAAAATTATATGAATGTAAGTATGAAATGAATAAGTACAAACGTACATCTCACAAAAACAGAACAGCTGACTTTCAGATGATTTGTTCAACGACTTATGTTACCGAACTCGAAATTCTTCCAATAACGTCTATCACAGTCAATAGATCAGCAACGGATAGCAGGGACTTGAACGAAGAGCTGATTTTGACTCAATTGTGACTGTGTCTGTATGAATTTTGACTCTTTTACGTTTGGTTCCGGCGTTTTCGTGCATTCAAAATAAACATCGTCATGATGATCAGAGTGATCGATAACCTATGTCTCAAGTATTTTCTCTTTTTCCTCGTGTAAAGTTTTACTTGCAGGTCTGTCCTCGGAAATCGCCGGTGTCTCGGAAACCTTAAATGATGAAAACTGAATTCTTGCGTAGTTGAAAAGATGGCTGTTCATAGATATGTAATAGCGAAAAAAAGATGTTTTTTTCTGAAAACTGACTTTGCTTAGCGAGATTTTCTATGAAAAACGTTTTCTGAAAATCTTCTTTTGACGCAGGTTTGTCTTCCATGATCTCTTCTATCCATTGCTGAAAATCGCAGGATTCTATCACTTTCGCTTAGAAAGTTATAAGAGGTCTACTCACTCGCATTTTAGTAAACGACAATAGTGCACGTATCGTTTGTGGTGTATCACAAGGTTCGATCCTACGGTCACTTCTCTTATTGTTGTTTATTGAAACTACTATTTTTTAAACCAATAGTATATCACAGTCCGAATAACTTCTAAATTCATTTTTTCACCTGAACAACACGTATATGTTTGTAATGTTTGACCATTTTCCTTTCTCACAGTTAATTTTTCCAAATGTTTAAATCTTGATAATTGATCAGCGAATTGCGCTGACCTCATGTAATTTTCATTTACATTCCACAATGTTAGTGAACGTAAATTTTCGAATTCGTCCGCTCGAAGATGATATTTATCAAAAAAATAATCGATTTTTTCGATGTTTGGGATAATTAACGTTCGAAGTTGCGATGGGACATGAAAAAATTCGTCAAATTGCCCGGATGCTTTTGCTGGACATAAATTTATATAACTATGAACTAACCAAGTATATTTTGTGTTCAGACCATAAAATGAGTTGTAAATATCATATACATCCAGATAGACGAAGATATGAAAGAAATATAACTCGGGCGGCAAATCGTCTAACCTAGTGACTTTTTTAGGATGGTGCCAGCGGCCCGAACGATATAAATTCATAAGAAGGTTAAAGAACCAGTTCAATACAGTTTGAATGACATATGAAAAGTTTGACATTTTTAACCTTGAAATCTAGAAAAGAAAAAACAACAACGATATGTCTGTCATCAAGCATTCGTTCTTCCTGCAACGTCAAACAAAGTACATATTCCTTTTTATCTTTCCTTTCGCTTTCTGATCCTCAAAATATCCTCAAAATTCTAGCTTTTGAAATTCTTTTCTTATACCAAAATACTTTTGAATTTCAAAATTTACGTAGAACTACGTTGCATTTTCTTCCATACTTTGCGGAAGAGTCTAAAATACTACACGCATGTCGTTATTCCTAGTTTTTCATATTCAACCTTTTTATCAATTTTGAAAAAGTTTAGGACAGATCTATACCTTGAAAAGATCTTCATATCCAATATCTGTTCGGATTTCAAATTTAAATTTTACTTGTGTATTGCACATTACTCCTTGGACGTCAAAATCACCATATTTCAAATCTTTTTATTTTTACGTAATGGAATCAGTGTAAATCGGCTATTATAAAAATAAAAAGCATTCTGTACAAATAAGAATAATATGCCTCATGTGTAACTTTTCTATTTAAGTCACGCTTAAGGCACATCATTTTGTTTATACAAAATGCTTTTTATTTTTATAATAGGCGATTTTAATAGGCGAAGGGAAAAAGAACCCAAAAACAAAGTGTTTTGCTTACTGTACACTAAGGAAATAAGACAGAAAAGAGATCTTAGCAGTATATATAGAGTAAAGTGTCCGGAATAAAACGGCATAAGCTTCTGAAAGCTCGATTTAGTATTAACGGAGAATCATGCATTTCCATTAGCTTAAGTCGAACGGTACAAAAATCACCAGAATCACTCATATACACAAAAAACACACCTGCGCTCTTCTACTCCACATCTCTGCATCGTCTATATCATAAAACAGCGGAACAGTACCTCATGTTTCTGGTGATAATAGATGAGTGTATTATGTGATTATGTTCAATTCAACAGCGACTATCCAGCAAAGATCTGGTTTTATTTTCTGATGTAAGAAAAACATGTGCTATATCAAAATAGACTATCAAAAATCAGAAACTTGTACAATCTATTTTCCTCGATGAGAGAGATATAGAACAAAGTAATCTAGCCCGTTGATTCCGAAGTCAAGTTTCTGAAAGATCCGACCGGATCCGACGTCGGAACATGCCGCAGTCCGACAAAATTTGGCGCAATCCTACCGAAACCGCCCCGTATCATGTCAGAATCCGGGCGCCCAGATCCCGTATAGGAGGATCTCGATGAAGATCCTACCATGCTCTTCGAGTTCCAGATATTGGATTTCGCTGCATTCGACAGAATATGACCGATTTTCGCTTCTAACTCTGGTAATATGCCCAAAATTTGATTTTCTTCTCAGGTGCCTTCCTTTTAGTGTTTTTTCTTTTTTTTCTTTCTTTGTTTTTATGTCAACTATTGCACAACCATCATTCATCCATATTTCTTCAGTTATGTGAATGCACATAAAAGGTATCATGGTTTTGCCTGTTTCTTTTTTCATTACTATGACTAATTTCTGCCTTCTTTTCTTTCAACATAAAAGTTTATAAAAAAAGTTATTTATTATATCGACACATTGGCTTTCAGCACTTGCAGTTGGTGCAAACAGAAATTCTGCTTCAAACACTTCTTTCTCAACTTTTGCTTTCACTGATGTCACCAGCTTGTTTTCTTAGCATTTTCAGTTTTCTTTTACTTTATGATGGTTGTATTTGTATGAGCGAACCGTAACTTTTTTGTACAACTGGAGGACGAAAATGAAAGTGACTTTTAAAAAGATCTGAAGCGTACATTTTGTTCGCCATAGTTTACTGGGTCTACTGTAAAAATTTCCCAACGATTTGACCTTTCTT